GGCCGGCCCCCGCGGCATGCGCGCCGCCGGCCGCAGCACAGTTCAGGCGGTGCTCGGCCGGGCCGGCCCCCGCGGCGTGCGTGCCGCCATGACGGTCGTCCCAGCCGCGGCCGACGTGAGCAAAGCCAGCGCTGACCGGCTGGCCGCGCCCGAGCACAGCCGCACATTAATCCCGTATTGTTCCACGTCCGGTTTTAATTACCGGCAAACACACGGCGCCGGCCGTGACGCCCGCCGCCGCCGCCGCCATTTCCGTGTGCGCGTGACTGGTGACGGCCAGGTCGCCCGCGGCGCGGCGCGTGACCATTTTTGAGACGACCGACGCCGGGCCGCACGCCACGCGCCGCGCGGCCGGGGTCCGGCTGGGGTGCGACACTAATCCCACGCGAACGACTCCATTTGGTCGCGCCGCCCAGTCGCCAACCCCCGGCCGCTAAACAAACAGCGCTCGGCTGGGCGTCAGCCAGGAGGCGAGGCAGGCGCACGCCCGTCAAACCACAGGTGTCCACACCTCACCAGGGCCGGCCCGCACTGCAATCACGGCCGCCGCGCGCCCCGGGAACGAGCGACCCCTCCCGCAGGCACACACAGCGGGAGGTGACGCGTTTCCGCGCGCCACCTCCCACCAGCGCGCCACCGACCCTGCGAGCACCTGCCTGGTCTGGCGTCCTCCAGTTTGCGCTTAAATGACCAGGCGCTATAATCGACACATGCGTGGGCCATCCGCTGATGACGTTTGGATGGTGGGGTGAAAGTTGTGTGTTGCAAGCAAACACTGATATCAGCTTCATTCCACTCGCAATCTACCTAACACCGGCTAATTTGCGACGGCTGTCAGATTTAGCAGGCAGCAACGTTGCTATGGAAACTGGACCTGTGGCGTCGCTGTATCATGCAGAGCTTAATTATGGAAACAAACCCCCATCACGGACGGAAGCGAGTAGGCACATGGTACAGTCACAGCAGTGAAATAGTAGTTAATGAAATATTGATCAACCATATCGCATCCCACTAACAGGCGAGGCTTTTCATGCTTCTGAGAGGGAGACCCCCACCCCAACTTTCCTCTTTTTGGAGGCGCGTTGTGCAAAAAGCTGACAAATTTGTCGTGTTCCCAGGTTTAGATTTCTTGAAAGCGCGACGGCTGAGGGACTAAGACATCACCACGAGGCTGTCAGCGCCTCAAGACTGATGAAGGTACTCAGTCTGGTTCATCTGTGTTGCACGACACCATATAAAATGTCGTTATGACGTCGAAAACTCGGGCGGGCTCACTAACAGTTCAAAAACAGTGGAACTGGATTATGTACATGCGATGCCGGCCTTATAACTCTTGCAGTCTTCTTCGCCTGCAGAAGTTGGAACGCGAGCTTGAAATGGCACGCGATTGATGCTCGCAGGCGGACCAGGCACATCCATGGACTCAGGGGATCAAAACGGGATCAAAGTGCTGTCGCAGAGCGGGAAACGCCGAACAGCATACCGAGCACTTCAGCGTCCACTCAAGACGGCACATGACGCCGCCGAGGCTGACCGGCCGGCGGGAAACTGCAGCCGCCCACAGCAGGCCAACACCGCGGCGGGGCGGCCGGCCGGCGGGGCCCCCACCCCCCGCCGTTACGCCGGCTAATGACACGCTCGGCCGGCCCCGAGCTGCACCGGTCGGGTCGGGGGAGCAGGCACGGCGTGGGAACGCGCCGCGGGCGGCCGGCCGGCGCGTGACACCGACGCCAGCCCGGTCCGGCTCGTCAACGCTGACTTGACTGGCGGCTGGGTGCAGGGTGGGGACGAGGATATAACGAGGGCGGGTGAACTTCTGCAGCCAGCAGTGTCCGATAAGTGGATGGTCGGTAGATGCGCATTCTTTCCATTTAATTCGCTTCCAGTGCCAATTTTTTAAAGGCTAACGGTGCGCAGTTTCAATGTAAACCTTCACCATCCTGATTAACGCGTCCCGGACAGTTAGTTCTCAATGATAATGCGCTCATATATAATTCTTACGCATCTCACGCTGGCAGCTCGTAGGAAGAACCGCAGAATGTCTCTTCATGCAGCAGCAATGCACAGTCGTTGGAATTAACAGCCGTCGGAATCAATAGAGTTTGAGTGGAGTCGTTTACGATGCTTGTCGGTGCAGCCAAGCGGAGTACCAATTGGACTAATCGGCTGTTTCAGTCGAAAACACGCTAATCATCTGCCATCCATTTCGATTCAGTCATGTTTTTGGCAGATGAGCGCCAGCGCTATAAAGTGAGTGGGGTACGGCTGATAGCATTTAGGGTACCATCTGCGGCGTTGGTACTTTCCTGTTTGTTTCTTTTTATCCACAAAAGGTCCAATTTATCGCTGGATCGGTCAGCATGCACTTACTTGCAAAATGCTTGACGAAATCTGAGAAAAGACGCTTCACTGGCTGCAGAGTTTATCAAAACTTGAGTCGCCAGTATCCACAAACTTCAACCCACGCGAAAGATGACAGAGCGCGCCCCATGCAAACGTTATATTGTATGGACTATGCCACGTCTTCAAGGCTAGCTGACGACCCGTGACAGGTCACCGCAGTTCTCTGCCTAAGCATGTAACCCTGCTTGGTGCTGGGAAAAAACCCACTAAGATCCCGTAACGGCAGGGCCCGGAGGACACGCCTTGGATGCAGTGCTTTGATGAGAAGTTCCCCATCGGGTTCGGCGTTTCTTCCTTACGAAGGTCATGACCCTAAATGTCATGTTGACTTGTGGCACGAACAGCGGTAGTCCCGATGACGTCTAACACGCAACCAAGCTCCGCTGAATGAAATGACGAAAACGACCTGCAGCAACCTGCTTTATGCCATGTTCATTCACACTCATTTCAGCAAAATATTGATGCGGAGGCCAAACTGACCTTAGCCATATTCCCCCCGCCCCCGGTAAGTTTTTTTACGGGACCGTACATTCCAAAAATCAGAGCCAACGCTTTGAATGTTTTCGCTCAAAGTACATTTTGGCATATCCTGCCCAAATTTGAGCTCCCATGCCATCCTGTCGCAAGTCCACGTGCGGCTTTTGGCAGGCACGTTGAGGCAAATCAGTGACACATAACACGGATGGGCGGCCCAAGGCTCCATGGATATACCCAGCCAACGTCTGACTTAACGTGTTACAAGACGGCCTAACTCATGCAGGTGACAAATATCGCACATACCCAGAACTTATGCACACGGCCAACAACGATCAGATCGAGTGAGCTGTGACGGGTATTAGCCCTGAGTTCAGCTTCAGACGTCTAGCAAGATGGTTACGCTTTTGTCTGATCCTCGTGCATCGAAAATCGTATCATTTTATAGGCTTAATGGATAAAAACCAGGCTGGTGCTTGGCGTTCACCCGAGGCAGTGGTATAAACTAGGAAATAGATATTCAGCTGGCTTCGCGGTGTCTCATTCTCTTTTCCCTCCTAATCCCAACTTGACCCCATCTGAGGATGATCTATGGCCTGAAATTGTCTCCGAATATTTGTGAGTCTTTGTCCTCTCTCCGCTCGGCTTTACAGGGTAGTCATTCACCGTCTCCACATGAAGTTAAAATGTCGCCTTTAGCTCAAAAAGGAGGCAAACATTTTGATGGTAGCCTTTAGCCCATTTTGAGGTATGTGCTGCAATTGCAGCCCGTAGCCTCAGCATCATTTTTCAGAGATCAAACCGAACGCAAAAGGAGGGGAGTCCGGGGGCAATAACAGGAGGTCGCCACGAATGCGCATTCTGGTAGCCGATCATGATCCACTAGCCAAGAACGTGTTTGTACTTAGCAGGGAACTTTGAGAGGCATTCAAATTGACCCTTATAGCATCCCTGTATCGGCCACTGGCAAAACGAATTAACCGATGTGCTCTTACAATTTTCCTAGCCTTATAAACAAGGTAACAAATCGCTTCAGCCGTGTTTGCTCTGCATACCATTCCACGTTTAGTATGCTCATCCATCACCAGACGAACTACACAGAATAGACTGAATATCGCTGCCTGATTTCCCTTTAACGGAGCGTGCCGCTTAGATCCGCCAAAGGCACGGCATTGCACAATCTGTTTTTATCCAACGTTTCCACGTGGTGAAGGCGTCATTGATTGTTACATAAAACCCTTTATAAAGCTCAAAAGCGTTCCCGCGAGGCCGCTGGCCTTATCGTTGTGATTCGCTTAGTTACTGATATAGCCGGATGGGCGAATGTAACGAGTCTTTACCCATTGGACCTGACAAAAGAAATAATAACTCAGTGCCCTGGTCGACTGCTGCCCCTGTGATGAAGTTTTGCAAGAGCTATTGAACAATCTTTCGCAGCATCACAGCATGCTCCGGTTTTGAAATAGGAAGGGGTTCACAGAGTGCACATTTGACCCGTATGACCTGATTTTATCGATCAAATGTCATACGCATCATTGTTTAGTCAACAGTGCCAGATAAACTTCACGCACCCAAGTGCGTTGCATTCAACCGGCCACCCGGGGCCTTTCAAAACGAGGTGCGCCGTGCCATTCAAACGTTAAGGATGCTCCCAACCAGTTCAAGCTCCACGCTACTGCTTTTGGCACTGATCTGTGGTGACAACTTCACCGAGCTCGATATGAAGCTCGCCGCCAGATCGCACTTTCAGCTCTTTTCAGGAGCTCGCTAATGACTTCCGCACTCCGAATCCGTCATACCCTGACACTTCCGAGGGCAATGATTTCATAAAGATAATGTTAAACCGATCCTGCGAAGCATAACACCCAAAATGGGCGATAAATTTGCCATTTCAAACATGAATTGCTGCGTGATTACTTAACTGGGCCGGTAACAGAATGCGTGTTCATCCTTGTGAGACATTTCTGAAACCGAAATCGAACTCTAGGTTCTGACTACAATGAAGGGCTTCTACAAGCAGCATAGCTCCGCGACGAATAGCGAACGCGCACCACATACCAAGTTCATCTCGTACAAAAGTTGCTGTAATGGCAAAATGATACAATAAAACGTCGTTTACTCACGTGATCCATCTATAAATGCCTGACACGGTGAGTTCACCTTCCTCGATCATAGCCTGTTCGATCAGCTCCGTGTACGTGAACGGTGGCTTAGTCGTTGATGTTGCGTAATAACCTGAAGACGAGCAACGTGCAAAATAAGCCAGTGCCCACAGGGCGATGATGGTCCCTGGCGCCCAGGGTAGCGGCAGCAGCCACTATTCACGTCAAACACTTTCTCATCTGTTCTCAACCATCCGCATTACACCCTACACATTTTAACTCATGTGACGAACGGTAATGCACTACTGAAAACAATGCATTCGTTACCGACAGACGTTTGCGCGATCAAAAACAGACCATGGATCGCGGCTGCGCTCCGTATTGTACCACATGTAGTATTCTCACGAAACCGAGTCGACACAGCCGTCCGTGAAACTCGGTTGGTAATGTCGGACAATGCGGCCAGTGTCTCGGCACGCTGGTCTCGAAACGCGCTTATGTGGCTCGTATTTGACGACCAATTGGTGATTGGTCAAGAGGGCTACGCAGGAACATGGGTGGCCATGGTGAGCGCTGTGCGGCACATTAAACTCGGCAAAAAAATGGTACGTGACACTGAAACTGGGTCTGGGGTGGCAAGGTCATAGCATTCGCGACAACCTGCGTTTCGCAAGGATTCTAAGTTCTAAGGAGCCTGAAGCATCGCATTACACAAGCATAAGAAACCTAGGAAGCTCTGCGTGATCTTTTAAAAGTTGAAAGGAGGTTTGGCTTAGCCAAGCAGGTGTGAACGGCGAATTGGCCAATAGATGCATTGTCTCACCTTGCTGCTGTACTTCTTGCGCCGCTTTGTAGTCGTGATCGCATTTCACCTCCATGCCATGATCCCAGCGGCCGTTCCCCTGGCAGCACGAGGGCGCCTGCTGCTGTGCCTGTGGCATCGTTTGCACCACCTCTTCCCGCACCCTCCCGGCCGGTGGCGCTGCAGGGTGACAGGTGTCGTCGCTGGCCGGCTCCAGCAGGTGGTCCAGGCGGTAGTCCAACAGCCACATGAGACTAGAGCCATCACCATCCGGACGGCTCACCTGCTGCACCGAAGGCTGCGAAGGAGGCAGCGGCTGACTAGAAGTGCACTCGATTGACCGCTTGTAGTCCCCGTCGGGTTCAGGACCAGCCGGTACTGTATGCAGCTGCGGCAGGGCTTGACCGTGGCCCGGGGGCGTGTAGCAGTGCGAATAATCTGGCTGCCATTCGATGCCGCTGCAGTCCACCTCCCGGTAACTCGCATTTGAAACATCTTCGAACGACGAGCGAACGAGAACGGTCTGCTTGGTATCCAAGTCGCACAGCTCGCTCGCCATCACCTCTTGCTGATGTCCCATGGTGATCTTGAAGTCTAGCACCTCCTTATCCCCCACCTTCAACCACACCGCTGACCGAGAGTTGAGCCTCGAGCCTGTCTTCCGCTTGACCCGCTGGAACGTTTTGTACGGCCGCTGCGTTCGGAGCACGAGCGGTGCCTGCGGGCCGGTGCCGGGGGCGGGGGGAGCGGCGGCTGCCGTCGGCGTCGACGGGGAGCCGGTGCCGGCGCCCGCAGTCAGCCGGACGCGGCCCGGCTGCGTGGCGCCGCCCACCGCGAACAGGCGTCGCTTCACCGGCAGGCGCGGCACGGCCGCGCCGCGACCGGCTCTTCGCGGCCCGCAGGGCCGCAGGTCGGCAACGTTCGCTGAAATCTGGACCGGCTCCTGCTTCATGTCTGTAGTGAAAGTGGAAGAGTGGGAGGCTTAATGAAATGTTAATTTGCCATCTAGTTGTTAATAATTAAATATGTGACGAAGGAAAGGCTTTGAGCGATAGCTATTTAAGACAATAACTAGCCGACTGAATGCAGGCCCTAGCCTCACGCCCACTCCAACTACATAACCAAACCAGGCGCGCGATCATGATTTTGTGTGAGGTGGGAGGTCTCAGTGCTGTCAAAATACTTATGTGCCGCCGATCCAGAGCAAAAAAACAAAAACAAAAAAACAAAAAAACATATGCAATGCTCCAAATAAGGGAGCTACCAGCACCCACAGTTACACCTCGGAAACTAGCCTCTAGTATGCCCTAACCTTAACCTCACTCATAGATTTCGGATCACGCAGACCATGAGCTGAAATGGTCAGATATCTATCTCTATCAGAATTTGCGCTAGCAAATCCCCGCAGTATGCCCTTGGGTAAGTCCTAAGCACCCATTGGGCAAAATATGCACCTAATGTTTCTTGACCAGAGCGAACATTGTTACCACGCTCGCATCTTCTACGATAAAAGTGCTGTACCTTTTAACTGCGACTGCAGCATAAAAACCAAAAGGAAAAATCCGACGGGCATTTCGAGATCTCGTCAGCGCTGCGCGTCGTGTGGTAAATCCACCATGGCTACAAGCCTGTGAAACACGACCTACGGAACTAGCAGACATAATAAATCGTGCAGCACTTAATCGGTACTCACCAATTTCGTTGCTAACACTGGAAAGGGGATGAAATTTCAATCATTAAAATGGCCCGCTTCCAGACCACACCCGGCACCGCCAAAGAGAACGACGCAAGCCACGCCACAAATCTTTACGCAGAAATACGGCGGCAGTCTGCAAACAAGGATCCTCCACTCCGGAGAATTGCATTTCTGTCAGCACGAAACCTCCATTCCGGAGAATCGTCCCGTACAGACGCGATCGCACGCTGATGTCTATGCGATAGCTCTGTCTCTAGTTGCCTTATTTGCCAAGCACATGGCTGTGACAGCAGCATGCAATACATTTGTCGTCGGAATGCATTAAAAAAATCATTTTCCGTACGATGTGTTTCATAACACCGTCCATTTCAAGTTATATAGTCCATAGTCCTTTATTAAAATGCATCCACTCAGTAACTGTTATGAATGCAGTCAAGGGTAAACGTGTAAATCAGCAAACTAGACAAAAATTACGCAAAAGTGCAATGCAATAAAATATATCCTCAGTGAATACGACACTGGGAGGCTCTTCTCCAGACAGATAAACGGGAAAGAATTTGTGGGAGAACGTGGGTTAGTACAAAAGGTTTTAGGACGTCAGACGTGAGGTGGAAGCTGACCTGGTACAGCGATGACATGATTACATTACATCGCCGGACCACCCTTGATGTGTGGGACTCCCATGTCAGGTGCTGGTCGAGGGGAACTCCAAGGGTCTTAGCAATTTTGCATTGAGATGTTTGGAGCTTCAGTGTGATGTGAAAGTCTTTTGCCTTTTTAGGGTTGACCTCGTACCTAAAATAGTGAATTGCGTTTAGGCTGGGCTCCCTTTTAATCCCGTTTAGGGAGGAATCCAACCGTTAGGCTGCTTTTTGTACGTGGAGAACGGACTCCTCGATCCGCACCCTGAGATCGGATGAGCCGACAACAGTGGGTAAGGAATGATCGAATAGCTGTGCGTCGTCAGCGTAGGATAGAGTGCAGTCGCGGGTAAGGAAGGACGGATCGCCGACATAAACAAGGATGAGGATTACTCCAACGATAGATCCCTGGGCTGCTCCGTGGATCGGGGGGGGGGGGAGGGGAAGGAGCGCAGGAGTCGCTGCTCACCCTCCGTCTGCGATCACGCTCAGCTCAGAAACCACGCGGTCTGCACCCGGTACCACTCAAGCTTGTCGAGGGTGACACCGTGCAGTAGGCTGAAGGAGGGTGAGCTGACAGAGGGTGAGAGGAGGGTTCCCCGCATTGCAGTAGGCTGTAAATGCGTGTTTATTGACACGATTGGTGAAAAAGCAATTTCAGCAGAAAACATCTGCCTTAGCGTAGTTCGGGAAAGGTTGTGTATCGTTTTCTTGCGCGTTGCGCGGAGGAATGCTTTACGATTGCATGTTGTTGACCGAAATGCAGATGTCTTGTCGATTAAATTTTGGTGCGCCATTAACATGGCGGTAAACTGAATGCAAAACTCACATACACTGCGCAAATTGCATTTTTAGGAACATGCAAATTTCCTAACAAATTATACCAACTCATAAAGGCATACACAGATTTGACCTTTTAGTGAGCAAGAGAGGGCTGCAGGATGATGTTTGCGGTGCGCGCCTACGCTCTCAAACGCCAAGAGACGGACGCGCAGTCTTCATGAGTGATCCGTACAAGTTCGCTGTGGCTTCTTGCGGTTTGGTGATTGTCTCACAATATGATATAATAACCAGACATGTGCCGAGGGTCCCAAAAACATTTCAGGATCCGACCCCAGCAGCCCATAAACATGGAATCCAGTGGGATTCTGGATGCACCTTTGGGATCCAGGCACATTTCTATATCCATGGTTGAAAGACGAGGGTTTGAAAGGGAGGACTGAGTCGAAGACGCAGGTTTCCTTGACGCCGCCTGCAGGTTTCTTCGATGTCGCCTGCAGGTTTCTTCGATGTCGCCTGCAGGTTTCTTCGATGTCGCCTGCAGGTTTCTTCGATGTCGCCTGCAGGTTTATTCGATGTCGCCTGCAGGTTTCTTCGATGTCGCCTGCAGGTTTCTTCGATGTCGCCTGCAGGTTTCTTCGATGTCGCCTGCAGGTTTCTTCGATGTCGCCTGCAGGTTTCTTTGGCGCCAGTTCGATGCAGCACATGCTCGTGCCAACTGATGCTTGATGCTCGGGATCTGCGACTAAGGTTCCAAAAACTTAGCAGAAATGAACTTTATTAAAAACGCCTATGTTGTATGACTTCTTCTCAGTAGCAGACATGCCTGGTAGAGGGCAATCGTACGATACCGAAGTAAACACATTGAACACCCTGATTACCTCGCACGTTCAAACACAGGGATAGAGCAAAAGGCATGGATGCACATGCATTCAGGACTTGGGCCAGACTGGTGAGCTGTGTTAGCACCATCGGGTAGCTGCACAGCTGGCTGGCATGGCCGTATGAAACACGCGGAAACAGCAGCTGTTCCGAACAGCTTCAGGCTGTTTTTTGACACTCGCACAGCACTGCACTCAGTTGACGCAAAAATCTCTGTCGGTTACGCTGACATTCAGTAACACTAACTTCCATCCAGGATTTGACTGATTAGACCTTAACATTGCGCGTCGCGAGCATACGCAGTTGCTTTCAAATGGCTCCAAAGATTACATGGTTCCCAGGCGGTGGTGGTGACACCGCGCGTTGGGAGCCAGGTGACTAGATCCCCATCGCCGCACTTCACGCACGAATACAAAACGTGAGCACCAGCAGTTACGGGTAGGCGTCCATATAAAGTAGAAAAAATGAATGACACGTGCAGACAAGAGTACGGGAACTCGGCCACAGACTATTCGGACAAGATGGTTGCTAGAGTTAGACTCGGCACTCCCAAATGCGTTGACAGGGTCTAGGTTCATAAAACAAAACTACGAAACTACACATTCTTAAATCATGGCGCGGGAGGATGCTCGCGATAATCGACCAAGACGTTTCAGCCAGAAGAAAGCAGTGCATCGACCTGCCATTTTTATCGACGCCTCGGTAAAAGCGACATATTTTCGAATGGCAAGTTTGTTCCATGTGATTTAGAAGAGCGTAAGTGCTTTGCTTTTTTCATAACACGATGCGTACTCTCCTGCCAAGAAGCTCTACACAAGAAAGCCAACTCGACAATTACAGTCCACTCTTAGTCTTAGTCGTAAAACAAACATCTCCAGTCGCTCCTCAATGACCTGACCACCAACATTCCCCAATCGCATCGGGGCAAGATGCGCGCATAGCTGAGGAGCGTTCGCGTCGCGCGTCCGCAGTGTCGCCGGACGGACAGGCACCGTGAGTTTGATCCAAAGACTGCCGACTCGGCAGCACAACTCATGTCTATGTGGGACGCCTCACTGCTGGGGCGAATAGCTCGAGCCCCAGCGGGCCCTCTCTTTAACGGGCCGCGTCGCTCCCAAGGGGGCGGCCTCTCTCCCTACCGAGCCGCCCTTGCGGCCGCTTTTCTCTCCAGCGGGCCTCCTCGCGCATCAGTGGGACGACTCGTGGCGCGTGGTTAGCGGGGAGGGGGTGTGACGCTCAGCGCGCGGCGATGACTCCATGTCGGGCGCGCCGAAGGGCCGCTGCTGGCCGCTGGAGGCTACGCTCCTCAGTGGCATGGACGAGGAGCTGCGCGTACCGCCGCTGTGGCTGCTGGAGCTGTCGACACGGCGGACACTCAGAGGCGCACCGCGGTGGGGGGACATGTGCGGCCTAATATGGTTTTCCACGCGGGATGAAACCAGCCACGGGCAGATTCGATGCATGATGATTAATATTCGGGGGAGCACGTGACCTATGTGATGCTCTTTTAACACGCTCCTTTGTGACTGACGCTATTGTTGCCGCTCTCTCCCTATCTCTCTTTCCCTCTCCCCCTCACTCACTCCCTGCGCTCCCTCTCTCTCTTTCTTTCTCTCTCTCCCTGCCTCCCCTCTCTCTCCCTCAGGACTTACCCGCGGGGCATGTACCCGGTGTTGGTGACCAGCTGTTCGCGCTCTATTTCGTCGGCCTGATTCTTCACGTGGCAACCGAAGCAGCAAAGCGCCGCCACGATCGGGATCAGCAGGCTGAACACGATGCCCGTCTGGATGCCGACGTACATCGTCTTGTACTGCGACTCGCCTGCGCGGCACGCCAGCGGTCATCAGGCCACTCCGGGCTCGTGCAGAAACACGCGCTCATGGGTGTGATCCGCACAGCCGAGCGAGCAGCTCAATATTCCACTGCACGGTGAATAAGCAGGTGAAGCAAGTTCGAACAGGCGTGGACGCGTGGCAAGCGGTACTCACTGATACAGCTGACCTCGCCGTCCTCGGGCCAGCTCCAGTCGCCCGAGGCGTAGCACCAGCGTCGCGCCTCGCCCACCAGAATGTAGCCCGGGTCACACTCGAACTTCACCATGGTGCCGGGCGTGAAGGCGAACGTGTTCTTGCGGCCGTTCTGCGGCGTCGGTAGCGCGCCGCACGAGGTGACTGCAAGAGGCCCGGGCCGGTCGGGTCAGTCGCAAGTGTGGCCGGCGTAACTGACAGTGGAGACTTGTGGTGTAGACCACGACATCCGTCCAAAGGCATTAACTGTTAGGTGGAGGTGGATTTGTGTGATAGCGCATGTGGAAACGTGCATCGACGTACTCGAGGTTTCTGTCGTCGACCGGTCACGTTCACCGTTGAGCGCTTCAAAACGATCGTACTTGAATACCATCTGGAACGTTATTTCTAATAGGTTTTCACTCGATGCAACACAGGTGAGATTCGGCCACTCACTGGTCTGCAGGCCGATTGACTTGGTGTTGACGAAGTCGTCCTGATAGAACTTGGAGAAGACGGCCACGTCGCGCCTCTCGGACATGATGAAGTCGTAGGCGCACTGGTAGGAGCCGCCGCACACCCGCTTCACCTCATCGGCCGTCAGTGTGCTGAAGCGGAATGACGTCAGGGTCAGTGCTCGGTACAGTCCGGGGATGGGGTCAGTATTCAGTACAGTCGGAGGACGGCGTCAGTACTCGGTACAGTCCGAGGACGGGGTCAGTGCTCAGCGCAGTCCGAGGATGGGCTGGGACACGGAACACCAATATCGGTGCTGTTCCGAAGGTCTGACACGATGCCGGCGTCTTGGATGAAACATCTGGTCGGCACAACGTCGTTTAAATATCGCGGACTATCCGGACATTGATGTGCTTTACGGTCAGCGTTTGCTAAGCATCACGTGCCCGAGACGAGGGACCTGGTTGAACTTGTGGGTGTTAGATTTTAACGGCGCTATGCTGACTGAAGAGAACAGAGGCGGAGTGCGGTACGAATACTCCTATCATCGGGCTGTTAAATCTCAGACAGATAAGCTCATGACAAGATGCTCAATCAAATGGACAAGAGCAGGCAAGGACTGGGCTGCATAGAGCACGAAACCGTTTGACACCTGAAGCGAACGGCACGAGCTTACGTTGCCGAGTTTTGGGTGGTACGGAAGACTGCTCACCTGTTGTCGGGTATGTCCGGAATCTTGTCAAACACGGGCAGGAATCCGGGGTCGTAGTAGTTGCTGGATGACCTGCCGTTCTCATGGAAAAACAGCGAGCCGCCTTTGTACGGGTCTTCCTTATCATCCAGCAACCCTGCAAACCAGGAGGCGTATTAGCGTCCTCGGCGCTCATGGCCAGAGCTGGGGTATTTGTTATGACTGTTGCCAGGGATGTAATCGCTCGCAAAATTTCGCTTGGGTGACAGTGCTTGAAAAGCGTGTCTTAACATGCCACGCCAGGAAGCCAGTGACCTTTGTAAGTTGGGGCGGGATCTATCCACCCGGTGCCCTGTCTGTCTGTTCTGAGACATTTGCTCATCACACAGCCACACAATAAGAAGTTTACTCACACTTGAGACCGAAGTCTTGATACAGGCGCTCCATGTTGTTGACATCGAAGGATATCGTGGAGCCGTCCGGCATCACAAAGTCGTCCGATGGATCGTTGGACCAGTTTCCAAACAGACCTTTCGTTTGGTTCTGAAAATGTCATCGTATTACGACATGACATACCACTCAGCCTACGGTCTAAAGTCAGATATTCGCCACTGGCGGTCCGTGCCAGGCCTTCTCTGCGCAAGTCCAAATTGCCAAAGCATCACACGCCCTGGCAGTTGGTCAAGCGTAATAGACTTGACGTCGTCAGCTGCCAACACGTTGACAACGTTAGCGCGTCAGCCGCAATAAGTGACACATCCGATCACAACGATGGCATGGCAGCTTCCTTTGCCTTCAGTATAGCAGGGTGACCCGAGAAGTTGGGCAATATGGACTTTTTAGGTTATGTGTCATCCACTCAAGTGGCCAAGCTGATTAGCGTCGTCACACCTCGTCCAAAATCGTGGCCCGGAAGCAATCGGCAGCACTCGAATAGAATCTAGCTGTTGTCACATTTTCCCGTGGCAGCCAAGCCCAGACTTCCAAATCTAGCGACCAGCGCAGTAGCTACGTGGCCGCTGGGCCGCCGAAGAGCCGTGACCTACCATGAAGGAGAGCGGCAGGTAGAGCCGGGCAGCCATCTGGCCCTGGTTCTCCAGCACCTCCACGCCGGCGCCCGACTGGAACAGCACGATCACCTGCGACTGGTTGTGGATGTAGGTCGGCACGTACACCAGCATGCCTGTCGAGAGGAAGGTCGGTTATGCTCGCGCGGTCCGCAGCGGAATGAACGGGAGTGATTCTGTGGAGGAGAAACCAGAGGATGCAGGCCACATATCGTAGGTGCTGCCTGTCTCGATTTCATTCACCTACGTCCTTCTTATTACCACAAGTAAAATTATAGTTTAAACGGATACTTATTCGCCTACGACATGGTGCTTAACGACCCGTGCTTGGGGTGGTCCGTGCCATCCAAAACTGATTAACAACAGCCGGCCTTATCACAACCAGATCCGGCTGTAGCACCGGCGTACATAATGCCCGTTTTAGGCACCTTTGAATGTCTCACATGACTTTGTCTCTGCTGCCACGTTTCCGCAATGCAGCTAGTGCACGCAACGCAGATGACTAACTTGACGTAGGACATGACCTGGACGTGTGCATCGTTTCGTTCGCAACTCACCTCTGAAAATTTGCATCTTTTCCGGGTACCGATCGAAGTAGAGGTACTTGTTGTTGACGAGCACGTTCAGCTTGTACCTCCACTGTGCTTCAGTCGGACGCAAACGAATTTCCACCGTCGTAGAGAAGTTGTCCCGAGCTGTCACGCGGAGAACAAGGTGTTTTAGTGCGGTCTCAGCCGGTAGAAGACAAGCCAGATAAGCTTCAAAGGACTCCTCCCCCATTGCTCTCCGTTGTCACCAAGGAACGCTCAGTGAACACTTGCTGGGCCCTATCATCTAAAGTGACTCTTTGCTCGCCTCGACAATAGCTGACCTCAACATGACCCCAGACAACCTCAGCAAACCATGCTCAGCAGACCTTGACCTTAGCCGACAATGACACCAATCGAATTTAACCGCTGCTGACATTGACCCGTGGCGCTAATCTTGACCCCTGACCTGCGATAGCCGTCAGCTGGGTGGCCAGCACGGCGCCGCGTTCATTATCGGGCACCTCCTCGAACCGCCCCTGCACGTCCAGCTGGTTGCGGTTGGTGTTAACGCGCGTCAGCACGTATTCGCCCTTGCCGTTGAACGTGTACTGGGTGTCGTCGAAGGTGTATATGTGCGGGTCCCCGAACACCGTGGCTGTGGGAAGACGAAGGAAGCACTGTACTGGGTGGGGCGCGGAAGTAACCCTGGACGGTAGACATCTACGTAAAATGATACAGATCACGGTTATTTCACAGTGTGACATTTTGCATCATTTAAGCGGCGATAACAAAATTGCACACTTAAACTACCACGACACTCAACAGATTTCATTGCTGTATCAAAGATGTAACAAGTCGCCGTAACAATCTCCACGCCCTCGCCGGTCGGGCCGTGAACCTATAGTTTGCTTTCCTACCGGCAGACGGCGGCTGGTAGCCGACGCAATCCTGCGATGCTCGCCGTTCGAAGCGGTACGTGATGCAGCCTTGGCTCTGTTCGCCCTGCCAGCGGCAGCACGAGTAGAAGGGCGCCACGTCGTGGTACCAGTGCGACAGCGACGGCATCTGACGAGAGAGGGCGCGGTGAAAACCCGCTGCAGGTGGGCGGGCGGGGCACGGAGGAAAGCGAATGCCACGGAAGTGAACCACGCCAGCAACGACAAGGATAACGTGCTGATCTTGCCTTAAAACACGTCAATGACGCTCTTTTGGAAACGGCGGCAGAGTGTAATGCATAACGTGCTGCACTGTTATGGATGGCAGTGGTATGAAATCTACTTTCTACCGCAAGTAACTTAGCCCCGAACCCAAGGTTCCAAGCGGAGACTCTCACCTTATTGGCTTCGTAGAAGGGCCTCATGCCAAGGTTGTGGGCGCGGTGCGGGTTGCCGCCCCACATGCTATCCGAGGTCATCATCAGGTAGCCGTCGATGTCGTAGCAACATTGCTGGCCGGCACCGTCGGCACTGGAGCGGATGTTGAGCGTCACGCGCTACGGCATCCTTAGGCAGGGCTTTGTTTTGTCAGCGTGCACTTAAATAGAAAAGCAGGTCGATCTTGCTTCTTCATGGAAAGATCAACAAGAATTGTCAACGAATGTGTGGGAAATTACGTGTTCCCGTAATCACTTTACACCTAGCCTTCAGACTTCGTTTCTCTTGACTTTCGTCATCGCATGACGCTCGTCTGTGATAGCCGCGCATTCTAATTTTTGTCCACTAAATCAATACTCAAGATTAAGACCCAGCCCTCCCAGCTTTCCCTCCAAGCTCCCCCCCCCCCCCTCTAGCAACAGCTGCACCCACTTGACCATGCCGGCGCGGACGCAGTGGATGGCGCCCTTGTGCTCGTTGCAGGCCGTGTTGCCGTCCCGGTCGCAGGAGAAGTCCGGCACGTACAGGCCCTTGTTGGCCACGGCCTGCTCGATACGGCACGGGCAGCGGATCACCTGCGGGCAGTCAGCCGACCTATCAGCGGGCACGGCACCAGGTGGCGCTGGGAGCGGCGCCACTCTGGGCGGCGCCGGCGCACGGGACCCGCCGGGACGGGTGGTGGCGGCTGCGATCACAGGCCCTTTATTTTGCTCGTGAAAATGGCTGGAACTCCACTCAACGCTCTCGTGGACGTCAATGAGGCCAACGTGGTACAGCGTTGAAAATCCCGAGTCGATTTTATTGCATTTTTCACTACTGATTCCTATGATTCCTTGCAGGTTTCAAAGCGTGGAAATGTTGCAGAGTATAGTTAAATATCGGACAATATGACTGGAGACCCTCGCCTACATTTTTAAAATGCTCTGAGATAAGTATTTGGATTTGCGGTGCTCCTTAATCAGCCCTGATATTCGCTTGTGACCGAAAGCGCAACGCTTTAGTTGATGACCACCGATGAGCCATCAGACAGCCACGAGCAAACACGCCAAGCGGTTCCCCTTTAGTTTCATAAAGAAAAGCGCACTGTGCTCTCTTACCTCGCCGGCGAAGTGCTTCAGGTTGCGGTCGTTCTCGATCCAGCGGTTACAGACGCGGGAGGCCCACTCCGTGCCGTACACTCGGCTCCACTGCGGCCCGAAGTACCAGGCCAGCGGGATCGGCCGGCTCCACAGAGTACTACCAAAGACAGCCAGGTGTGGTCAGGTCAGTGCAGGTCAGTGCAGGTCAGGTCAGGTCAGGTCATGGCACAGAACGAGCGACCTGACAAGTCCCGGGGCGGGTCACAGGTCAGGCTGCAGGTCAAGTCACGCTTTATATCATACATTGGGTCAGGTCACGTTAGGTCGTATCAGGTCACTGCTCTCGTTGGGTCATGAGGCTGATGACCACGGTGACCAAGACTACAAACCAGCCATGCTTTACGTTGCATATTGCCTACGGCGAGCAAACTTTAACACACGCCAGGGTGACCGCCTAGATACCCTTCGCTCGGGTGGGAGGGGGGGGGGGGGCAAATTGACACCACTGAGATCTCAAGAAATAAGACAGCTAGAGGCGCCAAATTTACAGAGTGTGTTGATATGTACTCGTGTTCTGTGAACTGTGAACTGTGAACTATATATACTCGTGAACTGTAACCTCGCTTAAGTCAAAATTTGAGGCGAAGGTGTTGACCTTCAGGTTAAATAGGGTCAGACAAGGTCAAATTCCAGGTTGGTCTCAAAAGCGCCCCCAGAACCTAGATAACTGTTTCTAAGGAAAAGGTCACATGCTCATTTAGCGTCAGTGACCTTCTTTAGGCCTTTGAAGGTCTAAAGAAGGTCACTGTAGCCCAGGTGACCAAAATTGTATAAGACTGCTTTGATTTTTGCAATAGAATAAGCGACAAAGATAACGTTAGGCAGTATGTTTGTTAAAATAAATAAAAAATAGTCACCTGGGTCATTCTAGGTCAATGACCTACTCTGACCTCTAAGAAGTCCATGGAAAATGCATAATGCGGTTCCTTCAATCAATAAATTTGAAATGAACGCCAGAAACCATCCCATGTAGCAAGACCCAGGGCAATAAACCAAGTTGGTTTCGACCTTGGCCTGATCTTCATACCCGACCTCAAGTCAACTTAATTTGCTCATTCAATGTTTGTGTTGCCTAAGAAAGCGTCACATAGATGTATGGCCTCGTGTAACACTCCGTTGTTGCATCAGATTGAACGATTCCATAGAAATTGACTTCGCTGAAATCATGGCCTGGCTTTGACCTGCCATAGGTCAGCAACCCTACAAGGTACATGTCAGCTTTTGATACCAGACGATCCACTATTCAATTGTCTACAGCCATGTAAAATTTGGTGCTGCTATGCCGCGCCGTTTGGAAATCATTCTGGAAAAACCTTTGGGGGGTGAATCTCACCCCCACCCGAGCGCGCGTTAAGCGGTGTATATGTGCAGTGTCAATGAGCAGTGCGAAATGCATTCATGTACGAATTGTCCAGACGATATGGTCTCACGCATACTGCTTTGGCCAGTACGGTGTCAGTCTCCAAGGTACCGTAAGTGCTTCACAGTATCCACTATATTATGTAAAACGAGGAAATCCAAGTGAAGAGTATTGTGGCCTGTTTTGTATTTGCTGGCACGGCATCATGCTATCTTACTTTGGCTGCACTTGGATGGACATGGTATGAACATCACATTAGGGGCATTAATAGTTGAGCCTAAGAATAACTGCACCAGAGTTTGCGACAGGTATGTTCAGTGAGAAGGCCTTTTGCGTCGCTGCATTGAAGATTCCGCCTCAACAGGTACAGCGCAAGCTGCCACAAGCCGGGCAGCATAACGTTCGACTCACGGAGAGCTCTTGAGGCCTGATAGGTAGGTGCCTGGGCTGGTCAGATTAATCTGCAGCAGGCCCACTTCGATGTCTAGGTAGTCCCAATTGTCATTGCCCATGTAATCGGAGGTAGCGATGTCCTTCACGCCCCTGTTGTTGGTCTCCTGCGGGAGTAGGGTACAGGCGGTCCGCAACGAGTTGTGATTGCTCTTCAAAAGCAAACAATTCTGAACGAGAATTCAGTGTCCGAGCGGTTGTTGCGAAAGCTCGCCTGGTCCTACCAAGGGCAGATGATGGGTCAGCACTAGTGTGACGTTCTCCGCTGGCACCACTGCTGGCTGGCTAGTCCCACGTAGATGGCCATCGGCGTTGGTGGAATGTTTAGTTCTCTGTAACCACGCCGCTTCGGAACGGCCCTGTCAGGCTGGTGAGCTCACCAATATCGTGTCAATAAAGACCAGCTCGGGCGTGTTAGTCGTCTCGCGGTAGCCATAGAGGCTGACGGTGACGTGCGCGCTCTGGTCCATGGTCAGGTTGTGCCAGAGCCACTGAAGGCGCAGCGCTCCCGGCTCCGCCAGCTGGTAGTCGTCGTTGGCGAACATGACGCCCTCAGGCGCCGTCAGAGGCGTCTCTGTCGCAGGAAGGATTGTGACGTCACCGACAGAACGCGACGCCACGGTCGTAGAACTGAGCCTCGTCACAACCACATGGGGTCATCGTCGTGGTGTCAGCAGTCCACAACCACGAATCGCTGCTGTCAACCTCACCACTGGTGACGTCACAGCTCGTTATCATCACGTCACCAGTCACATCTATGACGTCACCGGCCACAACCACGACGTCACTAGTCCCGCAGCATGCGCAGCCTCTCAAACCTGCGTCGTCAGGCGCGCGCACTGACCGACGTAGTACTGCCCCTTCCAGTAGTAGGGTCCGCCGTCGAGTGAGACGGCGATGTCCACGTAGCCGGTGGCGAAGAGGCGCGGCTGCACGCAGAAGGCCGTGTTGGTGTCGCGCACCACACCCTCCACCTCGCGGTCGTAGAAGCGGCACTTGACCAGGGTGTTGGGCCCGAAGCAGGGGCCCGAGATGTTGACCAGGCTGCCGCCCAGCATGTTGCCCTGCTCCGGGGCGAACACCAGCGGTAGGTTGGAGCCGTCTGTGGAGGCGGGAAGGGGTGAGAGGTCACAGGACGGGACAAGTCGACGTGGTATAGGTGCTAGCTCAGGCGCCTGTCCTTGGGCCGCGTTGGAGGGGTCGCTGAGAGACGATCAGATGTTGTTTTCGAGCGGAAGTGAATGCATTCATTAGAGAAAAAGCTGTACGGCAGAGCCCGTCAACTCATGGATTGAATGTGCCTACATATGGAGGTAAAACTCATGTACAAGAAGCTAAGAAGATTACGACATCGTAATATCCAGGACGATGCCATATACTTCGTGAAAGCGCGTTGCCCACGCGGTTCTACGGATCAAAGACTTCACGCGCCACGCCGGCACAGCAGCGAGGTCTCACAGAGCTCGTGACGGCAGTTGCCGGCCATGATCTTCTCGTCGATGCGGAAGACGTGGCGGCCCGGGAAGCCGTTGGCCATGCCGGTTGAGATGAGGTCTCGGATGTACATGGTCTGAGAGTAGGGCTTGTACGGGTACGCGCTGGTGCCGTTGCCAGCGTTGAAGCCCACCTGACAGCGGGGAGACGCCAGTCAGCTGGATTCTAACGAAAACTGCCGCGACTAAGCTCATCAAACCTGAGCAGCATGGTGCACGCGTATTTACAGCTCTGGATACGTGTCCACAGCGATGTGCTGGGCTAGAGCGCACTTCAAAAGGTTTCAATGATGATATCTGCGGGAGCGTCGCGATTCCTGAGTTAAATGAACGACACATGCGAACTGCGACGGACCGGTTCACAAACGACAGGGGCAGTTTCTAAAGCAGAAATGTGGGGAGGAAGGGGGGGGGGGGGCAACGCTGGTGACTGGAGCACTATGTCACCGTGGCGACTGACGCGCACCATGGCACCCCGCGCGGGACAGCCGGAACTCACGTAGGCCGGAATGCCGCCCTGTCCCTCGTTGATGTCACCGCCCGCTTCCGTGTGCGTCGTCCAGCCCATGTGCAGGTAGTTGAAGATCGCGTACGACCGCACCTCGTCTGTCACCACCAACAGCTGGAGCGTGTTCGTCTGCCCATGGCGGGAGACAGCGACAATGCGTCAGTATTCCGAACAGGGTGTGGCTGTATGAGTAACGCACCAGGGAGCATTCGATAATTACGGAGGTCCCACCGAGGCATGATACGTAGTCTGCATAGTTTTCTCTTCGGGAATAGAAATGCACACCATCTCGCGTCACGCCAAGTAGCAAATCACACTCACAGTCAACCACGAAACCCACCAACAGCGTCATCGGTCAACCAGGACACCTACCAACAGCGTCATCGGTCAACCAGGATCCCTACAAACGTCGCCGGCCAACCAGGACACTCGCCAACAACGCCCCCGATCAGCCCGGACACCCAACAACAGGGACACCCTCCAACAACCTCATTGGTCAATTCGGACATTCACCAATAACGTCACCGGTCAACAAGGACACCCAACAACAGTGTCATTGGTCAATCCGGACACCCACCAGCAACGCCATTGGTCAACTAGGACACCCACCAACAACGCCACCGGTCAACCAGGACATCCGGCGCCATCGGTCCAGCCCGCCGGTCGTTGCTCACCACGCGCCTGGCGCGGGAGTTTGCGTTGCCGCCGTTAAACGAGATGTTCTTCCAGGTGGTGATGATGATGTGCTTGGGGGTGAACGCCTCGGCTCCCACGATGCCCTCTCGGATGTCCCACTTGGCGCGCTCGCGCAGCTCCACGCCGAACTGGTCGTACCGCTCGTACAGGTCGCGCTCGATCCTGCGGCGAGTAGCGGCAGGGAGAGTGAGCGGAGGTGGAGGGCGCGGGTCGCCCGCGCACGAGCCGGGGCGGCGCCACCCTGGGGTCACGCTGGTAGTGCCGGCGACGGTGGCGGCGGCTCGGCAGCAGAACACCGGGTGGACAGAGAGGGCGCCGTGTGAGGGTAGACAGGGTGTGGAGGAGGTGGAAGAGGATTTAATCTTCCGATGAACATGAATTTAATGTTCTGATTTAAGGAATGTTCTTAGAAATCTTGATTTGATAATGATATTCTGCATGCAGTTAGAGCCCTTCTTCCCATGCGAGCCGTTTCAGTCAAAAAGAGCGGAGCCCAAGCGGAAAGGCATCTGAAGGATGATGTCGAATTCATTCTGTCTTATTCAAAACACCGGCTCTTACCACATAACACTGTGACGGCGTGCTCCACTACACTACACCGCTTCACGTCACGTGCGCGGGACCTCGTGCTGCAACGTGCTCGGCCGATTGGGACGCTCATTCCTCCTGAGGCCGGCTTTCGACAATAACTGGATGTTGTAAAAGTTCAGTGCAGCAAGGCGCTCGTGCAAACATGTCTTGCTTGCGATAGGGCTAAGGTGCGAATGAAGGGTGTAACAACAGCAAACAGCTTTTTGACCCCACGTGTAACATACCTGCACATGCCGCTGAAACGGTCACCCCTTCATAAAAACACACGCTGCTATGACCGACGCCACCAGCCGAAGCCACTGAAGATTAATCCCTATCTACATTACCTTCCGGCACATATTCGACGTTCTGGGACAACAGCAGGACGACACGGTGATGCGCGCGGAGCAGGAGGTCACCTGTAGTAGACGCCGGGGCGTCGCGTGTCGGTCTCCTCTCCGCCCATCTCGCCCATCACACACTTGCTGTAGAAGGGCCCGATGAAGGAGGGGTCGTTCTTTACCGGCCAGTCCGGCTGCGGGAACGTCAGCGGGTACGTCTGCGGCTCCGAGGTCGGCACCGAGAAGCCCAGGAAGCCGTGCAGAGATACCTAGTGGCCGCGTCGACAAGCGTTAGTTTCACCAGCGTCCGGTGGGTTACAGGCCAATGAGCGAGGAAGATGTAAGAACATGCATGTGGATAGAGATGTATACTATTAGTGCATACGGTCTGTCTATATTCAAGGTTCTATACTTTTTACTCGAGTATGATGTTGCGGGTGAACAACATACGCGTAAAGCATTACGACAATTTTTAATGGTGTCGGCCCGTTAACACGCGCTCTGGTGGCAGAGGGTCAAATTGGCCACGCCCCGAAAGTTTTTCAAGAATAATTTTCAAACGGCGCGGCGTAGCCGCGCAAAAATTTGCATAGCTGTAGAAAATTGAATAGCGGATCGTTTGATCTTAAAAATTTAGATGTACCTTGTAAGGTTGCTGACCTATGGCAGGTCAAAGTCAGGCCATGGTTTCAGCTAGGGCAATTTCTAGGGAATCGTTCAATCTGATGCAATAACAGAGTGTTTGACGAAGCCATACATCTCTGAGATGCTTTCTTAGGCACCACAAATATTGGATGAGCACATCATGTTGACCTAAGGTCAGGTATGAAGGTCAGACCAAGGCCAAAACCAAGCTGGTTTATAACCCTAAGGCTTGCTGCATGGGATAGTTTCTGGTGCTCATTTTGAATTTATTGACAGTAGGAACCGCATTACACATCTTCCATTGACTTCTTAGAGGTAAGAACAGGTCATTGTTCTACGATGACCGCGGTCGACACTTGGTTTTAGGAACATACTTCCTAGCGTAATCTTTGTCGCTTATTGGAATGCAAAACTCAGAGCGGTCTTACATAATTTTGGTTACCATGACCTTGAAAAAGTCAAAAAAGGTCACCGACCTCAAATGGGCTCGTGACATTTTGCTTAGAAACAGCTGCCTAGGTTCTGGCGGCACTTTGGAGACCAACCTGGACTTTGACCTTGTTTGACCTTATTTGACCTAAAAGTCATAATCTAGGAACCTCAAAGTTTGACCCAAGTGAGTTCACGTACAGATCAACACACCCTGTAAATTTGGTGTCTCTAGCTTTCTTAGTTCTTGAGATCTCAAGGGGTCAAGTTGACCCCCACCCGAGCCTTCGCTCGGGTGCTCGAAGGGTATCTAGCCGGCCCCCCTGGTACGTGTTAATATATATATATATATATATATATATATATATATATATATATATATATATATATATATATATATACATATATATATATATTACTTATATATTACTTATATATTACTTATATATACTTCTTATATATTACTATCATATTATATTACTATATATTATATTATCATATTACTTATATATACTTATATAATTAATCATAATTATATATATATAATCATAATCATAATTATATATAATCTTATATAATTAATCATAATCATAATATGATAAATCATATTACTTATATATACTTATATATTACTTATATATATATATATTACTTATATATTACTTATATATACTTCTGCACTTGACATATATATATATATACATATATATATATATATATATATATATATATATATATATATATATATATACATCTAAATATATGTTTGTGTGTGTGTGTGCGCATATAGCTGTAGGAGGATTTTTCAGAACTCACATTCAGTTTGATTTCTTTCCACAGCATGATGCGGTGATTGGTTGGAATTCACTCTTAATGTTCGAACACGAACTTATTCTTCTGCACTTGACATGACACCTATGAGAAAAGCGTAAGAGTATTGCGGCATGACCGATACTTTTACGTTCGGAACGCGCCACGTTTCAACAGCACGGGTCGGGGGTGCATCACGACAGGGACATAACATGACACCTGACTGCGGTCGTACCCAGGTGTAGTTGAAGAGAAAGCCGTAGTAGGGAAACCGGAAGTTGAGCTTCTTGTCGATTTGCGGCGTCAGGTCGTTGATGTCCCTCTGGTAGTCGTTCGGATACTTGAAGGGGTACATCATGTCGGACCGGATCTCGCGCAGCCGGTCCTCCGTGATGGTGTAATGCTCCTCATCGTCCCACAAGTCGTAGGCGTTCAGGCCGCCGGATGGACCACCTGTGGCGATGCGGTGAAGGCTGATCTGGGACAGGCGGAGGAGGCCAGAGACGACGAGAGCAGTGCATCAGATTGCTCCAAGCAGCCGCTTAGCTATGCCGACGTAACAGGTGAATCGACGGCAGCGTCAAGACGGCACCAAGTCCAGGGTGTCAAATATCGCATCACTAACTGTGCATCCTGAGCCCAGCCTCTTCCATACGTCTGTAGCAGTTACATGAATCATTATACTCTACCTTATTCCTTTCAAGAGCACGGGGTTCCACGCATCACAACAGAAAGGGGGTAATTCAAGAGTAACGACTGTGTGATGAGTTCTTATCTGAATCGCAAGTTTTTGTTGTTGTTGCAACACGCAGGCTCTTGTCCGTTTCTAGCGAACGCAGCAATTTGATACAGTTGCCAATGCCTCAGAACGTGACCATCAATTGGTTTCTGAGTCACGCAGTGATTTTTGGTGACGAATTCAGAATGTGAGCCTCACTGACCACTTGCCAAAACAAAGAACTATCTCAGCACATCCTGATTCAGCGTCTCCGGCAGCACAACTGCACACTCAGCATTCAAGTGGCAGGTGGCAAGCTGAAGGCGTTGAAAGCTTCGCCACTGTAATGGCGGTATAACCATGTAACGCGTAGACGCGTGGGGCCGTAAATAGACAGACAAACATGGCGTAGCAGGCCGGGCAAAGCGCACTGCGACGGCCGAGTAGAGGAGCACTATCGCCGCTGCCGGTCGGCCATGTTGACGGGCGGGGATGACGTCACCAGTCCGGCAGGAATTAGTGGACCCGATAGCTCTGGCGTGCCGAGGCGATAGCGGCGCACTAAGCCGACGTGCAGACGCGATAGCGGCGCACTATCGCCCACTCCATCTCGCCTCGGTGCCTTGGGGCAGGCGCCTTGGCCCTCAGCGCCTTGGTGCATGACGCCGCTCTGGGGCACGGGTTCGCCGTTCTTGAGCACAGGTTCGCCGCTCTGAGGCACGGGTTCGCCGTTCTGTGGTGCGAGTTCGCCGCTCTGGGGCGCGGGTTCGCAGCCCTAGGCACGTCCTCCGCTCTGAGGCGCGGGTTCGCAGCTCTGGGCACATTCTCCGCTCTGGGGCGCGGGTTCGCCTCGTCCGGCCGGCCTGAGTTCAGCGTTAGCCGCGCTGAGTTTGGCAACTGAGTCGCCCGGGGGACCGGTGCGGCTCGGCAGCGGGTATGCCAGTCAGACGTCCTGTCCGGCCGATCGTCGCTAGGCCCAGTGAACATTCATCTCGGCTGCGGCCCTTTCAACGCGCGAGTACGCGGAAATTGAGGCAGGTGCAAAAGCTTCAGTAGGAGAATATTGATTTCTTTCCCAGTCGCGCCGTAGTTTTGGTGAGCGGTTCAACGTGCCCATCTCAGTGGCCGATGACGGGGATAAAGTTATGTTGATGAAACCAGACGCAGCGCCAGCGTTAGAACTGTTTTGCTTTAAGTATGCAGTGATTGTTGACCACGTTAAATCTGAAGCTAAACAATCGTGGAGTTGGAATTTAACACAGCTCAGTCAAAAGCATCTGGAAGCGTTTGAAGTGATGCGTCAACACGAGTTAACCTCACATGTATAATATACCTCCTGTCAGGAGCCGTTCCGCATCACGCTTGGGATCAGCACTCGTGGGCTGCAATGGTGCGCTCCCAAACCAGACGCACGGGTGCAACTAAAACCAGGACGTGAGCTAAAAAGCATATGCAGGGAAATTATGAGTCCTGGTGCCGGCTGAGTGCATCAGCCTGTTTGTGTCAGCACGGGTCAAAATCCCACGCCGATCACAGAAAGACCTCAATTAGTGAAGGTCGACTGCGATCACCACACTAGCCCATGCTCTGCGTGGTGCTCCTTGTGCAGGCGCGTGCGCACACGCCGCACGCAGATGTCGACATCCCGTTAGTGAACGTTCAACATTGCACAGGATGGCTGTCACAGTCGGCGGGCTGTGTGCGGATGTCGGACACGCACGGTCCGTGTATGGGCCATCGGGGCGGATGGGCCCCTCAGCTCCGCCGGGTGCACACGGCGCAGCTGATGGGCCCTGCGTAGGCTGCTGAGCCCGGACTCATCAGTGGACCGTAGGCTGCTGAGCCCGGACTCAGCAGTGGACCGCTGGGCGCACAGCAGCAGACTTCGCCTCCTCAAGCGGAGGACTGGGATGTGCAGTGGAACAGGGCCGTCAGCCGCGGGGGCTTAGTTCAGCGCACAGCCTGTTCACGCGGACCGGGCTCCAGACGCGAGGCGATCTTCTTCAATGGGGCGCGCAGTAGATCTTTTATTGTCATCTCAGCACGCGGACGCCACTAATTTTGTAGAAATGTGTGCAGCAAAGGACAGAACGTGCCGTTTTTCATGTTCAGACAAGATGTTTGCAAAATGATGAGCTAAAGCAGAGAACAGCGGCAAGTTCAATTAAACGTCTGTTATCTCTCACCTGATTACGGAAACATGACTCTGTTTTTAAATGCCGACACGGATCGTCACCACCGGCTATAGCACCCTCGTTCCCAAGAATGTGTCGCCACGCAATGTATGCTGGTGAGGGCTTAGGCACAGGGAACAAAATCATCTGTGGTAAGCCGATGGCCGATATTTGAATTTAAAAGATCATTGCCGCAGGTCGTAGTTCTAAAAGTCATCTAAATATGCGAAATAGCGCCGGCGCATTTGACTGTCACGTGCGCTCAAATATTTGGTGACTAAGTGGTGACAAAAAGGTGACTGGTGAAGGTGACTAATAGCCCCAACAGGCCTATGACGAAGCCTAAGTCGCGTCTACATGTTTTAAATCATCTTATTAAACTCAGCGTCTCGATGCTGACAGGGCCGGCTTGTGACGGGCTTTTTTCCTCGACCCGTGATCTTCCACAGTCTGCCAAAGCTCATAAACGACGGGAGCAAGCTAGCGGCGAAGGTGTTTTTGCGTCGCTGCGAGCCTAAGCCGTTTATGACGCATCCGTCTTTGTGCCGAGTACGGCGATAAGCACGGCGATAGGCGGGCGGAAGCCCGGGCCGTATCGGGTCGTTGGGCGACATGTTCGCGAGTGAGCTCCGATAATGGCCCTGACTCATGGCCCTTGTGCGAAGGGCTGCGTGGCACAACAGCGGTGGCGACAGAGGGACAGAGATGAGCTGTGAGTCACTGCTCTGATGCGATTTCGTGCGGTGTGGGCCGACATTCTTCACCGCCTGCGATTCGTCCTCGCCACCAGTGAACAGTGCACATTAATTTTCGGCCCGTTCGGGATATCGGAGTTGGCACGGGATAGGTGTTGCGGGCTTCGCGCTCATTGCCGCCCCACGTTTTCCGCTACGTGAAAATTTGGGCCGGAATCCGAAGTCACTCCCAAATTGATATTCTCTTCATTGTTATTCGACTTTTGTCGTCCTCATTGGGCTGCTTGCTCGGCCTTTGAAAAGTTCACTTTCTTGGGGGCTCGATGCACTCGTAAAGTTTGTCATTTCAATAATTTCTTACGCTGCATAACTATCTAAAACAATATCGCGGTCCCATTGGTAGGTACGATCGGACCTAGGCCTGTTGATTTTTGGTGTCCAGTATTGCTATAAAGTGCAAGATGCTCTCCTACCTTTCCCCAAGGCCGCACGATATTTCGTTTCTACATAAAGCCTTTCACTGGCGGGGTAGGCCCATGTCCCAGTTTCATTGTCCCTCATAATAACAAGCCTCATGCAGGTTGGAAAACGGACTATAAAATGGGCAAATCAAGTGGATATTTCAGAGAACGAACCGTCTCGCGGCACGGTAAAGCGGTGTAAAGCGTTCCTCGGCGTGAGGCACGCCCCATCTCCACCTGTCGAGCTCCGCGTCCCGTACCGGCCCGAGCATGCTGCAGCAGTGCGGCGCGGTGCAGGCCGAGCTAGTCTGATCGTCAACTGACGAGAAATACCGCAGTTTCAGCGGCCCGCCCAGACCAATCGCGGTTGGGAAGGGTCTATATCTTTGCGATCACTGGTTGCAAGGTGAATTTTTTAGCACTAACAATCAGCACACTTCTTTAGAGTTTGTTTTGCGCCAGCCTGGAGACACTTACATGCATGCTGTTTGATCAGGCGGCTTAATCCCGCGGCGTTGCAAGCTCACCACTTTCTCACTCCCGCAGTCTACGAGCGTGTACATTGGAAAACTTCCGACCATGATTAAGCTGAAGAAGTTGAGTAGGAAGCAGATCAACGACCTGGCGACCAGGCGCCGCAGCGGCAAGACAAAAACTATAATAAACAGCGGAGAGAACGGAAAATGACCATTGCAAAATGTGGCTCGATAGCTGCATGCATTGCGCGCAATCCTGGGTGAAATACGCACCGGTCGATTTTCAGGGTTTCTTTTTTTAAAGAATTAGTATTAAAAATTGATGTAGGATCAGATCAACCTGAAAATGTGAATATCTGAAGCTCGTTATGGCTTGTAGGCGAACGTACCGCCCACAAATCACAATGCGGTCTCAACACATGCATATAACCATATAAATGCATGTAAACGGTAGTAATAGCTCGCTAAGCAATCGATGTCATCTTTTCCGCTACTAGTCTTAGATATGTGCCACACGCTGCTGCTTTTACCGATACAGATCGGGCCGTAAAAACTGCATAGGTCTATAGCCTTAAAATATTGTGACGAATAGCACTTATAACATAATTTTCCTCATAATTCTACCACAGCCTCTAAAAAGGTAAGCTATCTGTTTACCGTGCCGATCTCTCCATCCATCCACCTATCTTCCCCCGTCTTGTCGATCATAGTTGCCAGGTCCTGACAGACCCCAAAACGCCGAGTATTCGGCAGTTATTGGTAAATTTTTACACGAATTGCAAACGTTAAGCATCAGTGCACCTCCACCTGCCAGGCTCATGAAAGTGAGTACTGCGTTGCATGTTGAGTGCCACCTGTGTGGTTTCCTTAACAGCTGGGCCTGCTCCGCATGTGCTGAGATGTCACCTGAATGATAACGACCACGTCCCCCATCAGCTCACTCTTCGCACGCCGCAAAAGACGTGTTACTGGGATCCAAAGCCTTGCGGAAAAGCAGAGCGCTGTTTAAAGGCACCCTTCGAGGTTGCTGCATTGTACACAATTTCGCTTCGCGGAAATAATCACTTCGTGTTTTGAATGGACGTTTGTATTTTCTTATGATGCGGATTTCGTGAGTTGGCCTCATTGCACGCTTGAGGTAAGTTACCATTGCGTGATGGTGCATTTACTACACGTATCTAGACTATCTAGCTTGCAGTGGCTCTACACGACTCATTTGAGGCTCATAGCCTGCAAGGTACGGCCCTGAGGAAAAAAGCCGCATGGAGCAAATACAACTTCCATCCTAAGTGACAGTTAAGTTTCAAAACGTGACGCGGGCATTACAGCCGATCTGTAAAAGTAATGCTGGTTCAGTAAAGCCTACAATCTGATATTAGTCGGTAAGATTACCGGCTATGCGCTAAAAAGTAACGAGAAACGCGATTCAAGTAATGTAGAACCGTCAACGGGATATTTAAGAAACGTTACACGTTTGGGCTGAGTATTTCAACAGTCTCAACCTACTACCTTTTCACCTCACGAATGTGGAAGTTTGGGCCAGTCTGTACTGCACTTTAATAACGGAGATCCCTCTATTTGTTTCGTTCCCTTCAAATGATGAATGTATGAGGAACAGGAAGGTGCTCATTGAAGCCGATCGTTTTGCCTTACGTATGACCCATCCCCCACGACGCGCTTAGGTATGTGTAGGGACTTCCTCTATACAAATCTCACGCCGTATTAGCGAATGTGCCTACTTTATCGTGATCGGCTTCAATATAATAGTCTTGTCGTCATTTAAGAAAACATGGACAATCTATAGTATAGCCTTCTTAACCGTCTATAGTTCACAAATGCGACTTTGAAAGCCGTCCAAGGATACCTGACGGGCGGAGAGCACAGACATGGACGGTAAGAGGGCAGATGGGGCGGGGACCCCACGGCTGATGGGCGGATGGGTACAAAATATCCTGTAGTTGGAGCCCGCTGCCACTGCACGTTTTGTTATCCACAGCAGCACAACTTCCCCTCAAATCTCCAGTCCGTGAGAGAAAGGATGTTGAGCATTGCCAAATGTCTATGCTTCATTTTACACGCTCTGAAGCATTTTACACGCACTTGTTGCATTACCATCGATCTTGAGCCCTCCCGATGCGTAACTATACCATTCAGCTTTACGAAGCATTTCGCTGACGCTCCCTCCGTAGCCCAGTACCTCACCTGGTTTCAGAACAGGTGCACACCTCTCCCTCGCCCCGGGCCCAGGTCTCACCACGTGCTCGCGGCGCTGCCACCGCGCTACTCACTGTAGTAGGTGTTGGAGGCCGGTCGTCTTCCGCTGTCCGGCGCCTGACGTCGGGTCCGGTTCCTCCCGGTCTGGGTCAGCTCAGCCCGCCCCAGGCCCGCCAGACAGCAGACCAGAAGCGGCAGCAGACTCCACCGTCGCATCGGCGCCATGTTCGCCACGCGCAGCAGCCAGTCGCGCCCGCCGAGCCCGCACTGCCTGCGCGCCGTTCAAACGTGTAATCGGGCTGCCGCGCAAACAGCCCTATCGGGCGCCCGACTGATAGGGCCGCGGGGACGCTGGCTCCTGGCCCGGCTCGCACGGCACGGGGCTGACGCATCTGCAAGCTGGCAATACCGAAATTGGGCTGGCGGTTCCTGGCGCGACGACCTCGGCACCGACCGTAGCTCGTGGAGTGCTAATCCCGAGGGTGATCACTTCCTTGTTCTCTCCCGGTTGAAATTAATGACCCAGTTCCTGTTTTCCCATTCAGTTCGATAACCTGCGGATAGAACTGTTGGAATCGAGTTTTAACAAAACGCTTCCATCCATAAACAATTTTGCCCCAAAAAGATTGGTTTAGTCCAATGGAGGCTGCAAACTGGTATTCTCACTTGCTAAGCGTTGCGACTGGGACTTTACAGCGCATTTAGCAGCTGATGCTATATGGTGTTGTAAGCCCCTCTCCCTCGCGGGAATGGCGATCACTACGGGGCAGAATCTTATCTCGTACCTCCGGTGTCGCAGAACCGCATGTTAGCCACTGCACTACTGGCACCCTCTCTACTCGCTCGCACCGGTTTTATGCAGGCATTCCAGACGTACGCCATTGATATTCGCACTCAGCGCCAACCTGACAGATTCATTGTACTGCTCAGTGAGGTACAATCTCCAATACGGCATGACTAATGCAAAATGCGTTCTTGAGGCAAAAGATCATTATAATTATTGACCCGGTTGTAACAGCACCTTCGTACTTGAGTTGGGAGAGAGACGCGTCGTCGATTTGGGTTTTTATCGTGACGAAAGCGTTTGTGTTACTTTTTTCAAAGTTTGGGACAGGCACTCCCTCCACTGCCTCATGCATCGGCAGCTCTTATATCATGAGGACTGATCACCCGCCCGCATTAACGCCTAGCGCCACCTATATGGCGCCACTTGTAACGTGGCCACCCGCGTTTGGAGCTACCGACATCTGCCGGACGGTGACGGGAGCGGACGTCACCGTGGCCCAAGAGGATAACGTGGTTTACTTATCTGAACTTCTGGCATCTGAGTAGCACCGCTTCATGACCGTTGTGCATAGAATTATTACAAAAAATGGATTGTTTCATGCTCTCTGGTAGTTTTGCTCAATTGCACGCCCAAAGCGATAGTGGCTTATGCCCCGGGACATGACGCTAATGGGTGTTGTGATCTTTGCGTTTGGGGCATCAATCTCCTTCCCGAATAAGTCAGAACCCTAACATCGGCCGAGCATGAGGCTGAACGTGGCGGAACCTTAGTGTAGGTGAGGTATAAACGCGATCGACCAAAAAGCACGACGTCTCCCGCCCCCGCCCCCGCCCCCCGCGCACATGAAAAGCTCCGCTATCCGTGAGGTTGTGTTCGACCCGTTTAGAGCAATGGGACAATTTAAAATTCCTTTTTATAACGGCTGTCAGTTTTTTTAAAGCTTAAAAAATGTCTGTCTGTTCGGTACGGCCGATGGTGCGACATTTTCTTGAAAGACGTTTTGCTGGGCAGCGAAAAGGATTCGACGGCCGGATATGTATTTGTTTGCTTTATTTGCGCCAGGACCAGAATTTTGCCTTGTGTACAAGCCAGACATATTTGCACCGATAATAAGTCTAGTGTACAAAATGACATTGCTTTTACGAATGGCTTTTTAGCAATTCCAGTTATGTTTACCATTGTCATTGTCATTGCATTGCCATTAACTGCAGCATATTTGCAACAACGGCACATGAAACCAGTTTCCTCTATCTCCATGCATATTTCAGTCACAGTTGACCGATGAAAGGGAATGTCTAGTAATTGAGAATTCCCACATTTCAGTCAGTAGATAGTGGTGACATACCTGTGAGAACATGGCCTGCCCGATGTGATTCGAGCATTCTTCGCGACGTCATGTCCTTGCCACGACGGTTTCAATGACGGGCCACCAGTCTCCATCGTCGTCGCCAGCAGGCGCAACAGCTCACATCGGCTGCTAATACGGCACTGTGGGATTACAAACCGGTAAACATATGGATTTAGGACTTCAGTGGAAAGCAAAAACATGCATCGAAATATTGTCGGTGTCGCAGCCCGTGCCAATGTCAATTGCCACGCGTCCAGAACTGCCCCCGTCCTGACCCGGCGTCATAATCGGGTCCATTCTCACGGTGTTTGGCCAGTCTTCCCTGCATGTCACATCCCATCTTAGTTTAACAATAGCCTGGACATTGCTAAGCACGAGTGTGATAAACTGGGAGTTGAATAGAAGTGGTCCTGAATGTGATGCGTCATTCTGGGGAATATTGGTGCTTGCACCGCGCCAAAATCCAGCTGTGTGCTAGCCTCCAAACGTCAGAGCCTCGTCATCAAGTTCCGGAAGCGGCGAATCCTTCCTCAGCCTGCCTCCCGTGGCGCGTCTGATCGGCCGGCGCGGAAGCCCGCGAGCCGCGCGCACATGACCTCGAATCACCACACCGCGTCACGTTGAGACGCCCGCTCGGGGCCTGACCTTCAGCCGGCGGACGGACACACCCACCCACCGCGCCGCCAGCCCACCCCTCCGGCCGCGTCACGAGCCACGTGACGGCGAGAATGTCGCTGCATTTCCGACGAGTTATGCGGTCAGCCGCCCCGACCAGGCGGACGGCGGAGAGCGTCGGGCGGCGGGCCGTGCCGGCTCGCGACTGTGCGCCGGCGGCGCCTGCAGCCGGTGCGGTGCAGTCCGCTGACGCCAACAGCTGGGGTGCTCAGCTAGTGGACCCGACGAACCGGCCGGAGCGTGCCGACAGACGCTGTCGTGTCGACCTTTGAACAATGTCGGTATCCCTGAACATTGAGAGACTCTTGACTTCCGAGCTATGACTGATGCGGCTCTATTTGGCCGTTTCGGGGAGTCCATTCATTACCCCTGGCGCCTTTGACCGCCTCAGCGTGCCATAGCCACCCTTACCCTTGTCCATTTTGGGCCCACCGTTTGGGACCTTCCGAATCTGCAGCACACCTAACGCCTGTCACCCGTCAGACCGCTCAGATAACTTGACAACTTACCAAATGCTCCAAAATGTGTCCAAGTCTTTTGTGTAGGTGTCATTTGGCAATTTCAGCACGTCAATTTCTGAGAGCCTCCTAGCTATTTCAGACCCGGTTGGTGTTATTGGCACCCCTTGACCTTTTTCGGATCCCTTGGCGTTCCTGCGCTAGTTGATGTTCTCGGACTTTGGCCGCCCCTTAGGCTGTCCAGGAACCCTTTTGGCCCCGCCTGAGACGCTTGGGTCCGAGCAGGCCAGAAGACCTGTTCGTCATCCCGCAGCCCTCTGAAGCCCGTGAGCTTTTCAAGTTTATCCAGGGCCCCGAATCGTCCCCCGGTCCTTTGATCGTATAGGGCTTCCGAATCGCTGCAAGCGCTCAACAAACTGGATGACACCCGACACATTTATTCAGCTGTTGCTGCTCACCGCGGCCAGACTGTTTTCATTTCTTGCCGCCTTTGGATTTTACACTGTAAATATACTTCGTTTATTAATTAGCACGGTAATGGATTGGTAATGGAGAAAATGACCTAAGCTGTGGACACACCCAAAAACCCAATAAACAACGTAATGCCGGGCTTTTGATCACATTGGAACCTCCTTACAGCTCGAAGCCTTCTAATCGTTTTGGACTCCTTGACGTTAGGGACCTGTGGGATTCTTGGAACTCCCGACCACGAGGGAGCTCCGGCGGTGTGGGGTCCCTTGACCGTCTTTCAGCTTCTGACTTGTCCGCGCTCTTCATCGACTTTTGATCCCATGAACCTTTGAAAGTCTTGCATTCGTCTTGCGACCCACCTCCTCCGATCTCCCGACGATGTAGAGAAGTTTTCCTGATATCCGCCCTCTCTTTAGCTTTTGGGAAACTTACGACCTCGGTGGTCCACATTTGGTTTAAAAATCTGCCCCCCCCCCTCCTCACAGAACAGGTTCTGCTTTCCCAAGAGTTTTGCCCTTGTTGCTCCTAACCGCTCACCGCGACGCCACGAAATGCTGTGGTTTTCATATCAGTATCCATGTGTTACGTACAATTTTTTGAAGAAATCGGTACAGTGGGGGCGGTTCCAGCCACTCTTTTTCGCAGACAACCTGCTGGGAATTGAGAGCAATAAACGGTCAAATTTGTTCGCACAATTCCGTTGCATTTTTGGGCGGTAAACTAATGATCGCAGTTTATTGTATAAGATTATATATGTATATATATATATATATATATATATGCATACATATATATATATATATATATATATATATATATATATATATGTATGCATACAAGCACACTAGGAATGTACCAACAGATACTGCAAAATGAAGGCGTATCTACTAATGCATTGCTTACGTTCTTTTGTTTGCTTGTGCTTCCGGCGCAGAGTGGAAGTTTCCATGATGTTCGCACCGTATCAAATTTCTATGAGAAAAACAAATGCCACCGGTGGCTGCAGGCCGCCTATTGTTGTTTTTTAGGGGTGTTTATGTGGGGGGGGGGGGTCATCTACGTTACGTGAGCACAAATAAAAACATAGGTGTATTTAGAGGTAAACTGAAGAGAGGAAATCATCCTATGCAGTTGTATGTATGCAACATCCTGTTTTTGTACCATAGATATTCATTTGTTGCCAGCTTCACCAAGGCAGCTACCTGATCAATTGTTAATAATAAGTCATCTTTTGAAGATGCTAGTAATTTGTTCCCATACATTCCTGCATTATAAAATGGCATGCATTGATTGCGTAAACCAATATACAACAGGTCTTCCCTATAAGGTGACCTCAGTCCGCCATTGCCCGCCACATTGCGTCAACGAAATGTTACACGCGTAACCTAAGTGACAGCAAAAATGCATGCAATATGAATAAGCACCACAAGAACATGCACATTCCATATATTAGATTTAAAAGTGAAAATACGCTTGTACATTCCAG